ACCTGGAGAGTCTCCAATAGGTCTGCCCACATGTGTATGTATATTTAAGCTCATAGATCTTGAAATGAGGTGGGTAATGTCTTAAGAGGGGAGAATAGAAAATGATCCTGCCAGGACTAGGGCCATACAGCTTAGTGACACTTAACAGGACTAGTTTTCTGTGTTCCCACTGATCACAGCCCAGCTCAGCAGCCAAGATCCATTAGAGCACTTGGCTGGTTAATCTCCAGAGTTCTCCTGGCTTTGCACATACAGGTGCTCAGTAAGTATGAGTAGAATTGATCCAAGTTAGTGAGAGGAGCACTGCAAAGAAAGATGATGAAATAACTGAATTAAAGGAGCTTCTGGGCCCTGAACTTCTGTTCACTTGGCAAGTGGCTTCTCTGGAATGGCTCCAGAGAACTGTCACTTGTCCCCCCAACCCCCACTTGCCACATTTTCCTGAGAAAGGACTGCCCAGCACATCAGGTGCTGAGCTAAAAGTTGGGTATTATGAAGCATGCCACATTAGCACATCTTCCTCTTCTCAGAGATGACAGTACTAGTCACTGTGACGGACAGCAAGACACTATTCATTGTTTGTTAATTATTAGCTGTCAACTCAGAGACTCTTTGGAAGATTCAGGCAAGTTGTAGAATCCTTCCTTTAGAGATATCACAACAACATTGTTTAGAGGAAATAAAATACCCTTAATTATCAAAGTCTGCTGAAACCCTTGCATACTTGCCTCTGCTGGCAGCAATGGGTTTATTAAGATTTCACATTGTAGTGCCTTTATCTATGGTTTACTCCTTGCATAATGGCTGGGTAAGAAATGGGAGTGTTTCATTGTCCATATGTCTCTGAAACATTTGAAAGGTTATTTTATGTTTTCTAAAGAAAAAGACCCACAAAAAGATGACTGGGCTCTATTGTTAACTTCCAGTTTGGAAGTGTGACCTCTAGAAGTTAAGAGACATACTTTTTAAAGAAGAATTTGGTGCTCACCTGTACATAAACTAGCTAAGAAAACTTTGAAGGTCATGGTGAATACTCTTCTGAAGCTGAACATTCACTTGACCTGCTGCTACCCTGAAAGTACTTACTTTGTTCACCTGACATTTTCTAAGACCGCATTCAAGAAAGGCACATTTATAGCAATTGCCTGGTTATTCACTGATTTCCAGACTTGTATAAATGGGCCTTGGTGCAAGATGTTTTTGTCTCAGTGGAATTTTGTGTCAGTCCAAGCTCTTTATGATATAGAGCCTAACATTCCTCTGGTGTGTACTCTGCAGCCATCTAAGCAGCTGTGAGTGAAAGGAGTAAGCTATCCAAGTGCTTGCTTTGCAGCTCAAAGAGAGGATTACTTGGAACTTCATTCTTAGTCCTGGTTTCACTGTGACTCAGAGCAGAGGTAAGAGGTTTGCTTGAGGGAGATGAAAGAAACATTGAATGGCCATAAATGTGGGGGGTTGGAGGTGATTCCTTTCCTGTTAGCTTCTTCTCTGTGTTATTTTCTAGGAAAGTTGGGGGAATCATGCCCATTTCTTGCCCATCATAACTTTTGATACATAACATCACTGACTAGTGGATCACAGAAGATCTATCGGCTAAAAGTCTTTATGATTCTAAGACAGTAGAAGTATAATTATTGGGTTTTTCCTCGGGGATACAGAAAACTCCAGAGCCTTGACTGTGATCTGAAGATTGCAGAATCAGCATCTCCTGGGAGCTTTTCAGAAATCCAAATCTTAGGCCCACCTCAGACCCAATGAATCAGAATCTGCATTTTAAGTAGATCCCAGTGACTACAATTGATCTTCAGTTTTTGTTTAGTCTTGGTTTCAAATTCTGGATCCACAAATTATTTAATGATGTAACTTTGAGTATGTTAATAAACTACTCTAAGCCACACCTGTGAAATTGAAATGGGAGTAATAATAATACCTATCTGGCTGCGCGCAGTTGCTCATGCCTGTAATCCCAGCACTTTGGGAGGCTGAGGTGGGTGGATCACTTGAGTTCAGGAGTTCAAGACCAGCCTGGCCAACATGGTGAAATCCCATGTCTACTAAAAATACAAAAAAATTTAGCCGAGCACGGTGGCACGTACCTGTAATCCCAGCTACTCAGGAGGCTGAGGCAGGAGAATCACTTGAACCCGGGAGGTGGAGGTTGCAGTGAGCCAAGATTGCGCCACTGCACTCCAGCCTTGGCAACAGAGCAAGACTTCGTCTAAAAAAAAAAAAAAAAGAAAAAAGAAAAATGGACTTGGGTGGAGCAGGAGATTGGTCCTGTTCTTAAAGGAAGGTTGATTTTTAGGAATAGACCCTGCTCTAAGGAACCCATGTGTATTAGTCTGTTCTCACGCTGCCATAAAGAACTGTCCGAGACTGGGTGATTCATAAAGGAAAAAGGTTTAATTGACTCACAGTTCTGCATGACTGGGGAGACCTAAGGAAACTTACAATCATGGCAGAAGGGGAAGCAAACACATTCTTCTTCACATGGCAGCAGCAAGAAGTGCAGAGCAAAGGTTGGGGGAAGAGCCCCTTATAAAACCATCTAATCTCATGCGAACTCACTCTCTATCACCAGAACAGCATGAGGGTAACTGACCCCATGATTTAATTACCTCCACCTGGTCTCTTCCTTGACACGTGGGGATTATGGGGATTGGTGGTGAGGAGGTTATAATTCAAAATGAGATTTGGGTGGGGAAACAAAGCCTAACCATATCATCATGGTCTCTCCAGTTCACAAGAAGGTAGTAGACTGCTCTTTCAGCCAAGGACAGATGAGAGGAAGTTTAAAGGTACTGGCCACATCAGTAAAGGAAAACAACTCCTGACTCCTTTACCAATTAGGCATGGGCAAAGGGGAGAGAGAAATAACAGTAGATCACAGGCTGCAGCATAAGTGGATTGAGCCTCAGCTTCAGCACAGGAGGAAGGGAAGCTCTACAAAGAGCAAGCAATAACTGGATTGTTACTCTAGAGCTGGACCCAGCAGGACCCTGTGAGTCCAGTCAAGCTGGAAGATGGGGCCCTGCCTTCAGATGAAGCTGATTTGGGATAATTCCTGATATTTGATGGATAAGATACCACCTTGATTGGCCTAGATCCCTGTAAGTCCAGCCCACATACTTGGGCTGCAGAGAGAGAAAGGCCCTACCATCTCAAGTTCTCTGTAGTCTCTGCTCACAGAGGTCTCCCTGGTCCTGCTGTTGTCTCTGTTGAGCAAAGATTACTACCTTGATAGCACTGACCTCTGTGGCTTATCCTGTCTTTTGCTTTAAACCTGCTTGACCTCTTTCTCCTCACTTATCCCTTGGACTAGCCAGGAGACCTACCTGGAGGTGTGATGACTATAAAACAGGCCCATGTGCACCCCTAGAAGCAGCCTTCTTTCTTTTTCTTTTGCCACTCCTACCCTTCTTTTCTTTTCTGTCTCTCTCTTCCATTTTATGTCAAGTATTTGCTTGGTTTACAGCTCATAAAGTATCATTTTGTTAAATCATGTTTTCACTTAAGTAAGATGACTGTCAGAATGAAGCTATTTTATTGTGTTAGGAGTTAAAAAAAATAAAGAAAAATACATTTTGAGAATGAAATGACACAACACATTTTAGCTCAGTCTTCTTGGTTTTTCTTTTAATAGGATTATAGATCGCTAATATTTTTCCTGACAATTCAAAGCTAGTTGCTTCTAAGGGGGTCTCTGGGCCCCTTTGTGAACTGTACCCTTCACTCCTTTCTAGTTATATCTTTGGACACTCTGATCTTGCTACTTTCCATTCAGTCTATCCAGCCACTGGGTGTATGTAATTGAATAGTTGACAAACTGAGTCAATGCCCATTATGGACTGCCCTCCATGTGTCCTGAGAAAACTGAAATCATCAGAATGTGGTTCCTGCCCCCTAGGAACTCATGGCATGTCTGTAGGAACAACAGACATGGGAAGTTCATTATACTATGATGTTTTTCATTATATGCCAGAAGTGTGGAACATTATTGTAGGAAAGCAGAAGAGTTGCTAAATTGCCCCTGACAGGAGCAGGATGGCTATGTACAGCCATGCAAATCATGCACTGTGCAAAGGTGACAAATTTAAGTAGAAACCATCCAGAGTGTAGACACCCAAAATATCTACACTAGGGCAGTTTTCTGGCAGATAAAGGAACATGTCTGAAGGAAGGGGTATATTTTATAATTTCTCACTAAGGCACTGTATGGGTTAGCAGGTGACCCTGGACAGGCACATGATTTGAAGGGCTATGGAGAGGAGATGATATTGCATCTGGGCTATACAATGGTATTAAAAGTTAGCTGGCCAGGCAACCAGGTAAAGACTATTCTAGGCAGAGGAAGAATGAGTTGTGACAGAGACAGGAAATCACAATGGTGGGCCTAAGAAATGAAGAGTGGCTGAAATCATCAGAATGCGGCTGTTGCAGAGCACACATGATGGGGTATTGTGGGCTGTGGTCTGTAAACACAGTTTATAGTTAGATTATGAAGGATCTGGAATGTTATGCTAAGGGTTTGAACTTTATCCTAAAGGTGTTATAAAGCCATTAAAAGTTCTGTATCGATCTATTTTAAAAATAATATTTTATAAAGCATATGTAATAGTTCCAAAAAGAATGATTTGAGATGGAAAGACATATACGTCAGCCTTGTTACCAGTATTGGAATTCAAAAATCATTGAAGGCAGGGCTTTCAAACTCAAACACCTACAGGCACCAGGCAGGTAGCAAGTAAAGGTACTGATGGAAGTGGATTTAAGGCAACAGAGGGTGATCTGAAGAGCACAAGCCCCAAGGAAGTAAGCAACCATACTGAGCTCTAGCTGATTGTTTCCAGGCGGAACTCCTGTATGGAGGGAGGTCAAGTGGGGCCAGATCGTTCATGTTTTCATGAGAAGCTGGAAACTTACCTATTTATGTAAATTTCCTAAGTTCTAAATGTTGGCAGGTAATTCATATTCTTAAAAGTACTGTGCGTGTCATTCAGTGCAGGTCTGCAGACCAGAGTCACCAATGGGCCACTGGTTTACAGTCTCTGATAATGAGAGAGGGAACAGAAAATTCCTCTAGGAAACTGAGATGAGATGTTAATGAGCACTAAGTTGATCTCTGAGCTTCATCGCAGGTAAAACAAACATAGATACCAATTCCACTCCTCTTCATGATGGGAAGAGGAATGAAGGCCAAATGTAAGTGGGCAAGAGATGGTCTCTGTGGATAAGAAAAATGAATGGAAATTAAATGACTGATGAGTAGGGCTCATAATAGTCTTTTTGTGGCAAATTCTTTCTGTGAGAGTATTTCCTTATTGATCCTTGAGTTGGTTGTGGCAGAATTGTCAGCTGGCCAGGGCCTGAGTAACTTTGCTTGAAAAAAGAGACTCGGCCGGGCGCGGTGGCTCAAGCCTGTAATCCCAGCACTTTGGGAGGCCGAGACGGGCGGATCACGAGGTCAGGAGATCACCATCCTGGCTAACACGGTGAAACCCCGTCTCTACTAAAAATACAAAAAACTAGCCGGGCGAGGTGGCGGGCGCCTGTAGTCCCAGCTACTCCGGAGGCTGAGGCAGGAGAATGGCGTAAACCCGGGAGGCGGAGCTTGCAGTGAGCTGAGATCCGGCCACTGCAGTCCAGCCCGGGCTACAGAGCAAGACTCCGTCTCAAAAAAAAAAAAAAAAAAAAAAAAAAAAGGAAAAAAGAGACTCAGGGTGAAGAGTGTACCATCACTTTTGTATCACACAGCTTTTCTGGGTCTTAGCCCTTACTTGTGGCTGTCAGGGGGTTGAGTGCTATATCTAAGCACTTCAGTGGCTCCCAGATTCTGAATAGGTTTTGAATATGTGTAGTAGAGTGCCTGTCCCATGCTCAGCCCCAGATCAAGGGGTAGGCCTTAGTGGGATGTGTTTAGTACAACATGACTGTTCTCAACTCTAACTAATTGAACTAGGGTGGGTACTTTTAAGGATAGCTCATCCATAAACTGATAAACAGGTTTCAATAGAATTGCCTGTATCGTTACTTTCCCTAAGCCTTTCTCCTTTTACATGATTATCTTTGATGCGGCCATGTTCTGACCTTGCCCTTTGGTTGCTCTTGTTTGGTTCAGTGGCGTAGGCACTATGCCAAGCTGGATGTACTCCCTTCTGTAAGAGTTTTGAACTTAACCTCAAGAGAATCAGGCCTGTAACTACACCTTGTAAGGTTTTAGTGCGTGTGTGTTTGCACGCATACACACACACACACAGAATTTGCAAGTGAATGTGCATATGCTTATGGGTGAGCTAGCTAATGGTATTTGAATTCCTGGTTCCCATTGTCTTTGAGGATTCTTGCCCTTCCCAGGGTTTGAATTTTCGAACTATCCTTGGACTTTTTATTTTAAAATATTACTTTAAAAAACTTTTTGGAATTTTTTTTTGAGGGGAGAATGTTTAGGCTAAAATGAATTTGGTTTCTTTCAGTTGAAACCAAAATATTCCTGAGTAATGGAGGTAGTCAACTATCTATTCTGCAGCCTTTGGAAAATACCAGAAGAATAAATCATGAAACTAACCAAATAGCTAAAATTCAAAGGATACCTACAAAGAATAGTCACTGAGTCAAAGTACAGGGGACCCTAGGAAGGATTTTCCTGCTCATTAAATGAGAGTGTTAGTTGGAGAGACAGTATGTGCTGAAGGATATCAAACTCTGGGAAACCCCAGATTTCTTGCAAGTCAACATTAGTAGTTGTATTTGCTATGGTGTTTCTCTATAGTTGCCTCAGAAAAAGTAAAGGAACATGATATTTGAACCCCAGCTCTACCACTTCCTAGTCGTGTGACCTTTGGCAAACCACTTACCTCTCTGAGCCTTGGTTTCCTAATCTGTTGAAGTTAATGGTAATACCACCCTCACAGGAGCATTTTGCGGCTTAAATAAGGTAGCATGCAGGAAAGCACTTAGTATTGTGCCCTCAGCTCTGTAGAAACTTAATAAAAATGGATTTTCTCCCATCTTTTATTTCCCTGATTGAATACCATAAAGAAGCCAGTACTGACACTTCTTAAAAGGCACTTGATGGGGCTATTTATCTATAGGGCTAATGTCAAAATTTAATCAACAATTAACCATCTTCTTTCGGCTGTTCTATTTGTGATCATTTCCACCTTTCCAGGTATTTTTCCTGCCATTTACCATAAAGAATAATGTCTAATCATGTGTGAATTCCTTTTAGGCCGGGAAAAACCGTGACACAGGAGTTATTTTTTATGTTGCAGACTTGCTTCTCCTTGTCAGAGTGATCCTGCAAAGATGACCTTAGTGATGAAGACACTGTGAATTAAAATCATTTGTTCTGAAAGGTGGGACCAAGATGTAAGCTTCAGGAAACGCTGCCTCATCTACTTTCAAGGTGGGACTTCCTCATTAAAGTGCCTGTACGATGTTTCTCCTTCCCAGAGATGAAGGATAAAAAAAGAATAAAACCATCAGGCATTTTTGTTTAACTATGTCATTGTAGTTTTATAGTAGTTTTATTGCCTGCATGTATTTAGATATGAGAATTCAGAGAAGGCTGTGAAATATGTCCTAAAGCTTCAGGGGTAGGATAGTGCTCTGAACTGGTTAGTTGGTGTGTCTCCCCAGAGAATTATCTTCCAGGCTGCAGATTCTGACAGAAGGCACTCTCTGCCTTTTATAGTCCTGCTCACGGAAGGGGGAGGTGGAGGGGGAGAAAGCCTCTGGAAAATATCTTACAGAGAACCGACAGAGCACTGTATTGCTTTCAACAAGGTATTTCCATCTCCTTTTCTTGCTGTTAAAATTACCTGCAAGCCAAGTAGGCCACATAAAATGAAGGAAAAGGAAATGAAGCCCGTTAATCTCCCAAGACAGACATTTATTATACGAAAGCCAAGTGACAACTTTGAACCATTGGCCTCACCTTCTGTGGAGAAAAAGGCTTATGCCTCAGAAACTGCAGGAGTCTTGGATCTGCTCCCTGGTAGGGGAGTTGTATTGGTCGTCTGAAAGGAGACTGGCCTCAGCCAAATGTCATCTCCATGAATACAAGCCCAAAGTTCCAGTTGCTGAAGTATCTATTGATTAAAGAATCATGATAAATGAGGACAAGGCTGTGAATAAGATCAATGCCATGGACCTCAGAAGCAAGTCTCCTGTGAAACTTCACAGGAACATCAAACACGCCTTTGGAGAAGCACTGATCTCTGGTCTGAGCGAAGCCTTGAGGATTTTCAGGTTCTTCCAGATGTAACTTTCTATAGTGGATCTTCAGTGAGCATACAGGTATATGAGAGGCAGTGCCATGTAAGAGAAAGAGCACTGAATGTGGAGTTCAAGCCTATTAGCAATTGCATATCAGGGATATTGAAAACAGCCTCTGTTTATCAGCATAGCATCATGGTTGCAAGTACAGATTCTGGAGCTAGATTACCTGGGTCCTAATCCAAGCTCTGCTGTTTACAAACTGTGTGACCTGGGGCAAGTTATTTAACCTTTCTGTGCCCTAGTTTTTTCTCCTATCATATGATAATAGCAATGGTATCTATTGTAAATGATTGTGATGATGATTAAATAACCTAATGTTTGTAAAGGATCTAGAATAGTGCTATAGTTACTGTTTGCCAATTAAGTTCCTTCCCTATTCTTTTGTTTGTTTTTCAAACTAAGTCTGTTCTCACCACACTGCAGAGACAGACACTGTATTAGTCAGGGTTCTTCAGAGAAACAAAAACAATTGTGTGTGTGTGTGTGTGTGTGTGTGTGTGTATGGGTGTGTGTATAAAGATATTTATCTTATTTTATTTATTTTTTTTTTGAGACAGAGTCTCGCTCTGTCGCCAGGCTGGAGTGCAGTGGCTTGATCTCGGCTCACTGCAACCTCCGCCTCCTGGGTTCAAGTGATTCTCCTGCCTCAGCCTCCCAAGTAGCTGGAATTACAGGTGCCCACCACCGTGCCAGGCTAATTTTTAAATTTTTAGTAGAGACAGGGTTTCACCATGTTGGCCAGGCTCGCCTCAAATCCTTACCTCAGGCAATCTGCCCGCTTTGGCCTCCCAAAGTGCTGGGATTATAGGCGTGAGCCACTGTGCCTGGCCTATAAAAAGATTTATCATGAGGGATTGGCTCACATGATTATGGAGACTGAGACATCTCATGACTTGCCATCTGTCAGCTGGAGGCCCAGGAAAGCCCGTGGTATATTTCCAGTACAAGCCTGAAAGCCTGAGAACCAGGGAAGCCAAAGGTGTATGTCCTGGTCTGAGTCCAAAAGTGCAGGAACCAGGATTGGTAATGTCCAAAGGCAGGAGAAGACAGACAGCCCAGCTCAAGGAGAGAGTGTGAATTCCTCCTTCTTCCATCTTTTTGTTTTGTTTAGGCCCTCAATGGATTAGATGAGGCCCACCCACATTGAGGAGGGCCATCTTCTTTATTCAGTCCACTAATTCAAATGTTAATCTCTTTCAGAAACACCTTCAGAGATGTACCCAGAAATAATGTTTTACCAGCTATCAGGGCGTCTCTTAGCCTAGTTAAGTTGACACAATTAACCATCACAATTCCTCTCCTTGTCAGCTTCACACCCGTATGCATCTCCTTAAGCTATACTTAAGCTCCAAATAAAGGCCAGGTGCTGTGGCTCATGCCTGTAATCCCAGCACTTTGGGAGGCTGAGGCGGGCGGATCCCCTGAGGTCAGGAGTTTGGGATCAGCCTGACTAACATGGAGAAACCCCGTCTCTACTAAAAATAAAAAAAATTAGCCGGGCATGGTGGTAAATGCCTGTAATTCCAGCTAGTTGGGAGGCTGAGGCAGGAGAATTGCTTGAAGGCGGAGGTTGCGGTGAGCTGAGATTGTGCCATTGCACTCCAGCCTGGGCAACAAGAGTTAAACTCTGTCTCCAAAAAAAAAAAAAAAAAAAAGTCCAAATAAAGACAATAACAAAGTCATAATTAGCTAACATGATACAACTGTTCTGTGTGCAACTAATACACACTTATCCCTTTCCCATAAGAGGAGATCAAGTCCTTGAGTGACGTTTATTCTTCTTCTGATATCCTCTAATTTAAATACTATGAGGTAACATTAACATTACTTAAAAACTAATACAAACTCAATACATCTTATGTTACATGATAAGGGAATACAAGAGGAAAGAAAACAAAGATATTTGCTTAATATTTCCCTATTCTCTTTTTTTTACACTAAGTTTAAATTTATTCACACAAATGTATTTATGTAAAATAAGAAAGAAATACTCACAACAATTATAGCCCCTGTTTCTGTAACTGGTCTCATGATAGTAGCTGGTATTTATTACCCCGTTTTTCTATTACCCATGTTGGATTCCTTTTGTCTTCAGCAACAACCTCAACTGGTCATGGTTCTTTACCTGGCAGGACGATGCAAACCTTCATTCTCAAAGGATCTGGACATTCATAGTCCTACCTGGAATTTTTCCCCATTAACCTTAATTGCATGGTATGATAATACTAAGAGACACCTTAAGGAAATCACAGCTACTCCAGACATATTCTTCTTTGCTTCCACCGTGGAGCAGTAGTCCAATTTCCTCCATGACACTGTGACTCAATCACTGCAGCCAATACCATAACTTCCTTCTTGGCCTGTTGACTCAGAGGCATGAGGAGCCCAAAGTAGCAAGGTGGTAATCTTATTTGCCAATTAAATGGAATCATTGTTGTGTCTCCTGGTAGAAGCATCCCTCCTTTTGCAACTAATATATCTAGGCCAGTGGAACTGAATTCAATAACACATTAAAAAGATCATTCATCAGGACCAAATGGGATTTATCCCAGGGATACAAGGATAGTTCAACATATGCAAATCAATCAATATGATACATCATATCAACAGAATGAAGGACAAAAACCATATGATCATTTCAATTGATGCTGAAGAAGCATTTGACAAATTTCAACATCTCTTCCTGATAGTAACCCTCAGAAAAACGGGAATAGTAGGAACATACCTCAACATAACTAAAGCTGTACATGACAAACTCACAGATAGTATCATCCTGGATGGGGAAAAACTGAAAGCCTTTCCTCTGTGATCTGGAGCAAGACAAGGATGCCCACCTTCACCACTGTTATTCAACACAGTACTAGAAATTCCAGCTGGAGCAATCAGACAAGAGAAAGAAAGGGCATCCAAAGTGGAAAAGAAAAAGTCACATTATCATTGTTAGCAGATGATATGATCTTATATTTGGAAAAACTTAAAGAATCCACAAAAAAACTGTTAGACTGATAAATAAATTAAACTTTCAGGACACAAAATTGACATACAAACATAAGTAGGATTTCTATATCCCAGCAGTGAACAATCTGAAAAAGAAATAAAGAAGCAATTTCATTTACAATAGCCACACATAAAATTAAATATCTAGGAATTAACCAAAGTAGTGAAAGATCTCTACAATGAAAACTATAAAACATTCATGTAAGAAATTGAAGAGGACACAAAAAGTGGAAAGATACTCCATATTCATATTCAATATTGATTAGAAGAATCAATATTGTTAAAAAGTCCATACTAAACAAAGCAATCTGCAGATTCAATGAAACCTCTATCAAAATATCAATGACATTCTTCACAGAAATAGAAAAAACAATCCTAACGTTGGCATTAAAACAAAAAAGACTCAGAATAGACAAAGCTATCCTAAGCAAAAGGTCACAACTGGAAAAATTACATTACCTACTTCAAATTATACTACAGAGCTGTAGTAACCAAAACAGCATGCTACTGTCACAAAAGCAAACACATAAACAAGGGGAACAGAATAGAAAACCCAGAAATAAATCCATACATCTACAGTGAACACATTTTTGACAAAGGTGTCAAGAACATACACTGGGGAAAGACTGTCTCTTCAATAAATTGTGCTGGGAAAACTGGATATCCATATGCAGAATAATGAAACAAGGCCCCTCTCTCACCATATATAGAAATTAAATCAAAGTGGATTGAAGACTTAAATCTAAAAACTCAAGCTATGAAACGACTATAAGAAAATATTGAGGAAAATCTCCAGAACACCAGTCTGGGCCACAATGTTTTGAGCAATACCTCACAACTACGGGCAGCCAAAGCAAAAATGGACAAATGAGATTACATCAAGTACACCACTGGCATTCCTGGGCTTCCAGCTTGTGGATGGCAGATCACAGGATATCTCAGTCTCAATAATCATGTGAGCCAATCCCTCATGATAAATCCCTATCATCTATCTATCTATCTATCTATCTATCTATCTATCTATCTATCTATCTATCTATCTATCTAATCTATCTATCTATAAAGGATATAATCAACAAAGTGAAGAGACAACCCACAGAATGGGAAAATGTTGCAAACTATCCATCTGAAAAGAGATTAATAACCAGAATAGGCTGGGCATGGTGGCTCACACCTGTCATTCTAGCACTTTGGGAGGCCGCAATGGGCGGATCATGAGGTCAGGAGTTCA